GAATGGTATCTAAAAATAAAAAATTAGGATAAATAAAGTCAGATTAGTATTAATCGGTTTAGTTCTTTTTTTTGTTTCGTTAGAAAGGGATATGTCGTTAAGAAAGAATACGTCATTAAGAATGGTATCTAAAAATAAAAAATTAGGATAAATAAAGTCAGATTAGTATTAATCGGTTTAGTTCTTTTTTTTGTTTAAGTTGGCACTTATTAATTTTAGATTACTGTAAAACTGTGAAATAACAACTATGGGCATTGTTTCAAGGCTCGGCCCGAATTAAGTCTGATTTATGCCGAAATTTGTAACTTCACCCCTGTGTGTTTATTTGGCAGTTTTACATAATTAAATTGGACTAATCTAAATATGGTAAAAAAGTTTTTTTTTGATTATTAATAAATTAAAAAATTATTTATGATTGTCATTCTGATACTAACTTTTTTTTTTTGTTTTATAGCTCTTTGCAAATGATTTATCTCTACAAATTTTGTAGATCGTAGCTCATATATACAATCACTTGATTGTTGCCTGATTGTGCAAATATTTTATTTGTATCAAATTTTTGACTAAGAAAATCATTATACAATCGCACAATCGAATAACAATTAAGTTATCGTATATATAAACTGCGAACTGCAAAATTTGGTCAAGTATGCATCATTTTGCAGACAGTGATAAATTCTTTTTAAATATTTATCAATTAGGCACTTTAAGATGATTATAGTCGCAGCACGGCAATGCTAATATTGATTATATCATAAGTAGGAATGGAATTAAGTTGATTCAGAATTTTTATGGCTAGGATTAGAAGTTTTAGTATAGTTATTTTGCTCTAATCTAAGTAAACTCTGTATTCTATTTTCACTTACAATGATTATATTGTGAGAGAAATTATGCTTTATTTATTTATTAATTTATGAATGCTAATTAATAAACTTAATTAAGGAATAGGGTTGAGAACTTGAAAGTCTACCTTACAACACAGACAAAAAAAAACTCTAATTTTATTTGAAGATAAGTTAATTAGTAATATCTATTATATCTGTGCTATTAATTGTACAAGCTAAATATTTAATATCGAATTTGCTTTCTGATTCCCATGTTTGGTGCTATTTTAGATGCATCTAAGATATTGCCACTAACCATGACATTAACTCTTGCAAGTCTTGTTCTTTCCATTTGAATAGCTTGTTTAAGTGTTATCTGTAAACTGTGAATATCTTGACTGTCCTTTTTCTCCCAATCTGCAGCAATTAATGCAAGCTCTTCTTGTAGCTTTGAAAATTCAAAGTCTTTATCACCTAAGGGGCCAAAAGAAGTAGAAGAATTAGGAGGCTCTTCAACAACTGAATTCGCTGACTGTTGCATGATAGAATCATGATCACTTTCCTTTAAATTATCAGAGCTGATGTGAAGCTTGTTAAGTACAGCGAAAATATGTTTGCATAGCAATTGTCATGTTTTAAAATTACAACAATTGCAAACATATATGGATATGTTTAAATTGTTTTCACTATTATCTACTAAATCTTTTCTCCGAACAGAATATTCTATATCATTATTCATCATCGAACGTACAATCCAAATTCCAGAGCTGACACTATAAATATCACTTGGATTAATATTTGTGGTTCTCATAATTTCTCGAATCTGTTGTTGATGTCTTTGGGGATTCATTCTACCTACTCTTAATTCATCCAGGAAGGCCGAAAATTCTAGGTCTCAAAGTACAACTTCTATAAGAAGATATACTTCACTATCGAGTCTTCATCCTGGTTGTCCCCTCATATAAGTATATTTTAACTTGCGGTGAAATGCTTCTATTAAATTATTTGTATCTACCATATCTCTGGAAATTCCTCTTAGACATACCATCCACTTATCATACTTTGGTTTTCACCAATGCTCAAAGTAGTCAGCAAAGGTGTTTATTGCTCTGATACCGAATTTTCACCATCTGTCAATTGCTTCAGCAACTTGTTTTTTCACTTCTGCATCATCCCACCCTTCTGTCTTCATCAATTGCCAGAGATCTTTCTAAACTATTGTCTTGTATTTGTCAGCATTGGTACCAGAATGGTAATTTAGCTTTCTGCGCCAAGACCTACAAGGTTATATTTTAATAATAATAATAATAATAATAAATAAATAAAAAAAGAAGGTGTTGTTCAATAGAAAAGAGAGAAAGCTCTTTTTTGTTAAACAGCGCCCAAATAATAATAATATGGTGCAGGCAGTCTATAATCGTCATTTATGAGAAATGTTTCAATTTATTGCAATCGTGATTGTTAATGTATTTCGATTACTGCGCCAGAAATGCTGTAATTTTTTATGTTGCTAAAACTTTTTACTAAAAAATTTTTTATAAAAATTTAATATATAGAACTAATTTCTACAAAGTTACCAGTCAGTTTTTTTAAAAAAATATATTTATAAAAAGATATAGTAATTTAAAGATAGGGTTTATTTTTGAATTGATTATTTTAGAATACTAACTGGTGACTTTGTAGATCTATAACAAATTTTTTCTATAAAAAGTTTTAGTAATTAAAAAAATACTGTATTTCTGACATAGTAATTGAAATACATTAATTTATTGATCAATCATGGCCATGAGAAATTGAAATATTTCTTGTGATTGATGATTATAGACTGACTGTCTGCATCATAATATTAATCGATTTTTTTTTTTAAAAAAAAACAAAAAAACAAGCATTTACCTTAACACATGAAAATGACACAATAATACTGTACTATCGGGAAATTTTTCTTCAATGGCTTTTATTTCTTTACCTGCATCGTCGACCATAAAAATATCTGGACTCTATTCATGATGTTCTTGTTTTAAGAAATCTAACCATTTCATTAATGTTATTGATTTTTTATATTTACTAATTAGAAACGCAATTGGATATCTACTTCCTGCCAAAGGATGCCGTATAATAAGTGTAAAAAGATGATAGTCATATTTATTCATTCTGTGAGTACCATCTAGGCATATCACTCTGGCATGTTGCATAGATTTCTTTTGTTTTTTTGTCTGAAAAGCAAAAAGAAATCCTGTATCAACTAAATTAGAATTTGGCTCATTGTCCTGTTCAAATAGGCAACATCCACCCATGTTAATTATTTTAACTTTCCATTTATCTAAAGATTTTATTTCATCACGTCAAGGTAAATGCTTGCTTTCATTGCATCATGCACAATTGCATAAATATCTTCTTTTGTTACTAACCCATCTCGTAATTGCTGAATATTTTGAGAAGATTCGCTATGTTGACCTGTTTCTAGTGACTGAATTTGATCCTGAAGCTTAATAGCTCGAAAACGCAAAAGCTGTTGAATGCCAAAAGCATCAAGCCCTTCAAGAGCATGTTGGCGAATGAACTGTCTAATATTTTCAGAAAGAGGAAGGGTAAATAAGTCCGACAATTGACCAGGATAGTAGTTGATATGTTTATAATAATAACACAAAACTACCGTTGTTGAGTCTACAGGAAGTGTAACGGTAATAATACTTTTACAACCACATTTTTTTGTTTCCTTTTGTACTAATCATAGCTTTTTTGTAGTATCTTTCCCAGCAGTACTTTCATATGTGCCATACTGGTGGCAATGCCATCTTTCTGATCATTGATTTTTTTTTCTTGTACCAATTTGTGCCCGACAGTTATGTTTGATATAACTAAGTTCTGCTTTTTCAAGATTTTTAATCCATTCTACATATTCTTCAACCAAGAGATTATAAGTTTTAGATCTTTCTGTTTCTGGTGATCCTTCTTCTGTTGTATTATCGTTGTCTACTGTCTCCCATATTTGGCCAGCACTATCTGTCGCATCAAATATTCTGTCAAGTGCATAATCAATTTTATTGTCACTGTCATCGCTAATATCCATATCTTCTTCTTCAATATCAAAAATTGCATTGATACCTAATGATAATATCATATTAATGGATAGGTGGTTAAATAAAAAAAAGTTAAATAGCTTTAACAAATAATGGTATTTACGATAGAATTACGAATTTAGGTTAATTTTTTTGAGCAAGGACAAGAGAAGAATGCTATATTAAGTTGGTAATCACGATCAAATACAAAAATTAATGGAGACGATTTGGATAAAGAGAAGTATTGTTTTATATTTTTATTTATTGAATGTTTTAAAAAGATTTTATTTTACAAACTTGAATGAAAAACCCGCTCTTAAGTATATTATTTGATTGTGGTCTACTCTAGTTTATTACTTCTATTAAGTTATTATTATTAACTTTGCATATAGATAAAATTTTAATTATTAGTTTTTTTTTTTTACTAGGTCAGTTAAACCTTCGCTACCATATTTTCATCACTCGCATTATTTACATTATTCACACTATTCGTATTATTCGCATTATTCGCCTAACTTACAAAATCTGCACTATGTTGCGTGCATGCAACTGCAGGTATTATGGGTTAGTGATGGCAGAAAAATATCGCAGTGATGTGATCGCTAACTGTTCCGATCCATTTGATATATATATAATCAATATATTAAGTAAATATAATATCACAATTTAATCTGTATTAATTTTGGACTATCAAATGGGTTGAAAATAGTCGGCGATATATCATTATAACATTTATCTGCCACTATTAACTACCTGGTATTAAGAATTTTTAGTGAAGGCATGAAGTGCATATGAGTACAGGCAAGGGAAAACCTTGAACCAGAAATAATATATTTTTATTTCCGATTTGAGGTTTTCCCTAGTCGGCACTCATAGTATTACAATAATGAAAAATCAAATTACAGTTCAAGAAATCGATCAAATGAGCATAAGTATAAATTACTAACCTATTTGGGTATATGCGCAATGACTGTTTAAGGGTTTTCTTTATGAAATGACTCTCTAATGCATATAAGTAAATATTAAAACTACATATTCAGATTATTTATTAGATATTATTGAAAAAGATATATTAAGTTACTTTACTAGGCATATATGAATTCTTTGTTAAGCAATAAGCATTTGTGAAATTGGTAATTGTACTGAATAATTCATAAGTATGCAATAATAAATACAAATAAAATTAAGAGGTAGTTCACAGTTAAAGGGTATAATCATTACTAAGTATCATAGTTGGAACTTATTATAAATTTTTTATAGTAGCAGAATGCAATAAAAATATTTTTTTATTAAATAAACATCTTTTGAATTTTTAATTAAAGCTGTAGAACATGTCATTACGATTCTAATGATAATAGAACCATTAAAATCGGTTATGTAAATCACAAAATATTAAGATCTTTTTCTTTTTTACTATATGGGTCTTCCTTATTGTTAGAAATGTTCGGCATTCCATTACTATATGAAAGTTATAGTAAAATGCCTGCCATATTTTATACCCTTTAACTGCGAACTGCCTCTTAAACATTTAATAGTGTAAAAAAATTTAAATTCACACTTTTATTTAATCAGTAATAAACCAAAGTAACAAGTAACTAACTTATAACTTAATTCCCGAATATAAATGCATATACAATAATGTAATAATTTGCGATTTATTTTTTACATTACTGCTCGAAAATTTGCGATTTATTTTTTACATTACTTTTCGAAACAATGCAAAATTTTTGTGTCCCTCACTAAGCTTACTAATGCTAATACAACACGGGTTTAACTTGTAAGACATACTAAATAACTGATAAGAAAAAAATATCAAACTAGAATTAAAAAGTAAATATTATCTTGCATAATAAGTATTTGCCACCTAGACGTTTTTTTTTGTTTTAATTGTTTGAAAATGAAAATGCAAAATGTTTATAATAAAAAAATAGAGATAATAAGCCTTTTCGCATCTCTATTGAAAGAAACCTTTATTTCCTTTATTTACATTAAGAAAAAAAATTTTTGTTTGCACATACGGGCATGATTGGCTGTAGATGATCGGTATTATCACGTTATTAAGGATCGACGATTTTGTCCAATCAAAAATGCGATTTACCGATGACCAATAGAAACTTGGAGGGGAAATTAGTAAACGCTTGAATTCGGAACGGTCCCTCCTGCTGGCCGATGCTGCATTTCCTTATTTATCAATTTGTTTGTTTATAAAAAAAAAATGGACAAAGAAATGGTTACGTATAATAAAGATTTTAAATATAAACAGTCTAGGTTATTGACCTTTTTTTTTTCTTAAAAATGTCATCATATGAATTAATTCTTCGTGGCCTTAAATTATCCCTCAAAGATCTTATTGAAAAACATCTTCCCGTCAAATACAAGCTTTTAATTTTTTTGATTCAGAGTAAATGGTAAGAATTTCTTGCTAAATACGTGTTGATAGTGAATATTTGCTCGTAAATATTCACAATGACCTT